AACCGGTGGTACATTATGGAAAAGGGTCGACCTACCCTGAGTTTTAGAGGGAGGACCAGACGGCCGGGCCACCTGCTGAACATGCGGCCCGGTCGAGCGTAGCTGCATCGGTCTCCCAGCCACCTGAACCGAGGGCAATCCGGCCTCATAAACCGTCTGATCGAAGGAGCGTGCGGATGGGCCGACTTCCGGTGGGCCGGTAGACCGATCCAAATCACCCGGCCCGAGATGAGGGCTGAAGGCGTGTGAAGAAGTCGAGGCGATCGTCGAGTTGTGGGGCTGAAGCCCTGGGCTCTTGGACGGTATTCGGCACCAGAGGACGTCTCGGCCCGGCCAAGCCCAGGCGTCGAGGGAGAGCACAGCCCGGGCACCATCGCGGCCACCGAACAGCAGTTGTCTGGCGTGACCATCGCGGAATTTGTTGCAGTGGGACATCCATGAGGAATTTTAAGAGGAATTTGGTGGGAGAGGAGAAAGGTGTAGCTGATTTCAGTCAGCCAGTGCTATTCAAAATGTGAAATGATGACATGATTCATCATTTTAGCATGGTGCTGTAGATACGTGAATTGAAGGTTACGATTCTCCTGCAACTCGACGTGGCCACCTTTTCACCTCAGACTTCCCCTTTCCCCACTCTAACATACACACTTATTTGGGCTGCCAATGAGACGATGAGGCAAGGTCAGGGATTTATGGCATAAATTGGGCATACTTTTCGGATGATGACCTACAAGTACATGTTGAATGACAGTCTATCCACAGAGTTGCAGCTATTCTTGAGTCCGATGGCGGCAAAAAATGGGCAGAGTTAGCAAATACCCATTAAAAGTCGGCGACATTTGAAGCCGAGGCGAATAAAAATGGTGTCTTATAAATTTTGAGAAAACAATATGTATCCTTTAATTCTATACAGTTGAATGCTTCGCATGTCCGAGAGGTTCATCTGCCAGACCTCCACATTCGGCAGGAAGGGGCTCATGTGAATGTTTACGGCTACTTTGTCCAGGAGCTGTAAACGCTGGTATGCACGTCATGAATGAGCACCTTGCAACTTCCAGTGGCTTCTACTTAATTTTATGACGATACATGATGAGATCTTGCCCAGTTCTTTAAGAAATTTCATAAAATCCTATTGGAATAGGTAATTATGAGCCATTAATGGGTTTTGATGACCATTTTGTTACACAGAAGCATAGTAGAGGTGATCTACGATGGAATTAGCACATGATATTAGTTATGCTTTTTTAGATATTTTGGACATTATGGACGAAGTTAGGTGTATTGCATATACTCGTGATATTCTAACTTTTATATTAAAAGATTTGCTTGGTAAAAACATATAAGAAGAATATGACTTACAAATAGTAATAATTTGGAAGGACATTTATATAGGCTTAAGCAATTTTTCTTCAGGCTTAATTGAAAATATTGGAGTACCTTTCAGTTAGTCTGAAGAGGCGAGTGAATTGGATTCGTAAGTTGGTTACCTTCCATTTGCCTCTTCAAACGAAATGAAAGAGACTTCCAACAGGAATCTATTAAGAGATTCTTCGAAACTCAGTTTTTCTAGATTTAATGAAAATAGTTCAACTTTAGTATGGAATAGTTTTTCGGCTGGAAACTATTTGGTGCGTTATAGGCACTTAGAGACCTCTTTCGAGTCCCGACGTTGTCGTCGATGTGACCTACCTCCTAGACGTATGATAAGAGGGACGTGATCTGAAACAAACCGATAATATATAAAACGAAATTCGAAGAATATGCATAGTTATGCGATAGTAATAAAAATGTAGGTTGTATTTATAAAAGCGATATGGAGACGAGAAACGCAAGATGCAAAGTTGATAAGAGGGCAGTCATGGAAAAAATTCTTTTACTGCCGTTTGAGCAAATGAAGACTCGGACTTAGCGACAAGGTCGTTGAGGCAATATGTATTGAGTTTTGATGCTGAAGTAGCGCGGTCCTTTTGTACACATAGATCCGACGTTGCTATGATGTCGATGCACAGAGAGTGAGTGACATATCTTAAAATAGACTCATGATGACTTTCATCTCAGAAATAGTCTCTGGATCCTTGAACCAGAGCGTCGAAGCATTTTATGGCAAATTAGTTTAGACAGGATGCTGTTATGGAATACGAGAACAGTCCATCGGCATGCACCGCTGAACCCATGGTGGTGGATTCGTGAAATAATAAATCCAATCAGGAGTTCTTACGATTGCATACTTTGGGGACTATAAAGTCAGCATTCTATTGGTGACGTACCGTTGACTCAACTTTGAGTTAGACGGCTAAGTCTGTTGTATACAGCACAAGGCTCAGGTCCGACTGGAGGTGTCAGACTACATGTTTCAAGCCCACATATGGCGTCCAAGATGCGTGAATGTGTGTTTGCATATGTAAATTATGAGTTGCCTGTTTGCGAGAGAAGAAAGTTGATCTAAAATGGTCTGCTGTGTGATATAGTACGTCTTAAATCTCAAAGCCAGATGGAGTGGTGACAAAGAGTATGTCCTCTTTCTACAAAAGCTAAGCGAAAGAGAGAGGAGGATAAGTACAGTTTTAAAGCAATCTTGATCCATTTTCCAGGTCCAGCTCCTGCAGGCATGAGTGTCCATTTAACCTCCTTTATGGTGGCAAGACCTGTTATATTCTCAAAGGGGCAATGCTTGGGTCAGAAATGGCTGATAACACGGCAGAAACTAGGCGGATCAGTTTGCTGATTAGTTGCTTGTCTGCTGCTAAGTAGAAAATAGTAGAAACTACCGAAAATAACAGAATACAGGCAGATCGCGATTCATACGAGTTCAAATAGTGCGAAATAAAATTTAGTACTAATTTTAAGTTGACACCAGGCCGCATGTAATGAGTGCAAAAAATCTGTTTTTAGTGTTTAATATTACAGAGCAGACACAGCACCTATCACTAACCATTGCCATTTATGCACGATTGACATATGTACCGTAAAGTTTATTCAAAAAATATATATCATGCTCCTAATAAATGTGGACAGATGGAAGGATGTTAAGGTGAATATTTGAGGTGAACAAATTAGGCGATCGAGGATTACATTAAAACAAAATTTTGATGTAATAAAAATACACAAGTGTGCTGATCATAATTATAAAATTGGTTGGAATGATGAAATGCATACATCGACGATACGGAATATATTTTCCAACACATTGCTGTGATAATGAAAAAAGGTAAAGCGACAACAATTTGAAGTGGTTTTAAAGCCACCTTTGGGAATATAAGTATCATTATGATAGATTTAATAACAAATTTTTACACATGCGAATTCTCAAACAACAGGCGTTGATGCTTTCAATACTGTATTGTTTTACTTATAATAAACTTTTGGCTTTAATACTTTTGATTATCCTTTGCTGTTGTATTACATTAAAAAAGGAAAAAAATTGTACCATTTAAAAATTTTAATCAAGCTTTTTTTATTGAAAAAAAACAATTAGCTGACTTTAAATATAATAATCACTTTGAACGGTATGACGTTTTAACGGATAAGTTCTCTAACTAACCGCGACCTGTCTACATGGAATGCTATGAATGTAAGAAATGGAGGTAGGAAGTTGTAGTAAATGTATGTTTGTCTGATGAACTTGAGGAGAGAGAGAGGATGTTAATCCGCCTACTTACAAATTCCATCAGTCAAATGTTGGGGATATCGCTTTCCTTGATTTAATAGCTCTTGATGGCCCTACAGTGACGCTAAGTTATAAAAACTCAGCTTTAGGACGGGTGGCTTAGTATCAGGACGTAAACATGAAATTAGGCCTCACTAAACTCGTATATTAGGATAAATAAAATTATATAAAAAGGAAGTTACCATAGCATTTTATACCTTATTTTATTTATTTATGTTTTTTACCTCATAAAACGTATATGATGGTCTGACTTCTTGACTTAAGTTTTCATAAAAATGCGATAGAACTCTGCGGAGGTCTATTGAGTGGCGTGGCAGACGAAGAGACAATCCGTCTTTGCCGGAATTGAATATGGCTTTTTCATGTACAGTTTAATAAGAGGATTAGCCTGTCGAATATCTTAGTTAGGCAGTTTCACACGAAGGGAGAACCCCCACAACAGCCTCATCTCAGGGAATTCCCATAAATCTAATTACATTTCGTTTAATACATCATACCATTGCTGTTGTAATAGATCAAAGCATTTGACACCTTTCTTAACCCACCTCCACTATACTTCAATCACTGACAATTTTACATAGGCCTTCTCAGTCTTCCCTTGTTTTGGCGTCGCTTTATTAGCTCTGGTACATTCTTGTTTAAGGACTAATACAATCAGCTTGTATGTTAGTGAATGATGAATTAGGTTTAGTCACTTAACCTCTAAACTCTGGGATTGAGGCAAGCGATAGGCGAGACTTGTATTTCTCATTCAACTCAGTTCTGCACATTCTAAATTCGCCGCCCACCGGAAGCGACCAAGCCCTCCTCTCGGCAGTAGGTGTAACTCGTGTTCCGAAAAAGATATCAAAGTATCAGATGACAGCTCATTTCTTATCAGGCAACGATCCTATTTGTGCATGTAACAAAATCAAATGTAAGACTTCACTTGAAGAACGAACATACCGACGACAATAGGCTCTCTCTTTGAGATAAAATAATAAAATAATTTAGTTTCGAGGTAGTCCATGGAAAAGAGGCGCTCACCTGCGTGGGTAAACACACCAGGAGAGAATAGTGAGAGCACAGAGGAGACAGAGGAGAGCACAAGCTGCAATGCCGTAGGACCAAGAGAGACTGTTCTCCTGCAAATTGCTCAGCCACTCAGACTGGCCGGCCGGAGTCCAGTATGTCTCAGAATGTACGCCGCGACCGAAAATAATAAGTACGATGAGCAAACACAAACCTTTATAAAAGACGTCCATATTAAGTGGTGCATAGACATGTATACATAAGCACATGTGTTTGTGTGTACGACCACGAATTTGCACCAATGTATGCATGTATGTATGTATGTATGTATGCATGTATGTATGTATACATATATGTGTGTGCCTGAGTATATCTTTACAAGTGTGTGTACATGTGACTATTACTGCTTGTGTGTATGTATAAGGATTTGCGGTTGGAAGGGGGATTAATTGTATATATACGTAGGCATGCATGCAAACAAGTGTCCATATCTACTATTGCAGTTGGACATGTGCACCCGAATGTTTAAGTATGCTACACATATCATTTGGTTGCTACAGATGATTTAAGTTTATAATGGCGACTTGTTGAGTGAATGCTAATAAATGCTTGTTTATGAGTGAATGAGTGTTGATGGCTGGTTTGATATGGAGAGGTGAGGACGTAGAGGAAGAGAGAAAAGTTAAATTCAGTGTCTTTTTGTTAGATGACTTTTTGAACAGTAAATAAAATAAAATATAGACAGTGAATCTTAAAAAGGTACCTAAATCATTTTAAATGTTCAGTTTTTATTAATCGAATTGCCAAAAATCCCTTTGTTTTGAAAAACACTTCATTTCAGTAATTGAGTATCATTATTTTAAGATAACTTATTTTGTTCAAAATGACTTGAAAATAGGAAGCTAGATTGACTTAAGCTAGAAGTGTAAAAAAGGCTAGATTTAGAACAACACATGTCCATGCTGAGGCTTAGCTTAGTATTAGAAAGGCTCAAAACTTGCTCCGACTTTCCGATAATGCACTAAATTTAGTATTATTTCAATAAAAGATAA